GTCTTAGTGTTTACTTCTGGTCTGTGTTCTTATGTGTTATTTTGCCAATGTCTAATCTGAGTTCTGTTTCGTCTTTGCTTCAGCCTGTGGTCCTTGTTGTTAATGTATGGTGTCTTGCATCTGTAAGTGTCTCTCTGTCTGCCTCGTTAGCCCTGTTTGTCCCTTTGTATAAATGTTTGGTGTTTCTGTTCATTTCCTGTCTGGTCATTGTAGTGTATACACTCCTATTGAAAACTGAAGAGATTTTCAGGCAGGGTGAAAAATTTTGTTTTGCCCCACCTACATGTACAAAATTTCTGTGGTACATGTATCATGTTCAGACGTACAACAAAGCCTCTTGGAGTGATGCCCGACACCCAACAGGAAGTCAGACATTTCGTATTTATTGGTTGTTTTCAGATGATTTACACACTCTGTACTTAAAACTCATCCTAGACTGTGCAGTCTAAACCCACTGACGATTAAAAGTTGTACAAACGGTGAGTTTTCATTGAAAATCAATAATTCGCCAAGGAATTTTTTTGTAAGTTCAGTCTACATGCTCACTGCACCAAATTTGGGGTGCATTATAAGAGTCCCGCCCTGAACACATCCACATACCAATATTCACTCAGTCATTGCGCGACCTGCTGGCAACCGGAAATGACACGATTCATGCTGTAATGTACTACTCCTAGCAGGTTGGACATCTGAACTTCAAAACTGTCCCAGAAAACGCTTAACATATAGATGAGGCCATGTTGTAAAACTTGAGTTTTCGGTTAACAGCGTGGCGGTGGCGTGGCGGCAAAGTTAAACTCTTCGCCATGAAACAGGAAGTTTTTGTAACTTGACTGTACATGCAACAAGTGTCTTGTACTGAACACATGTGCATGCCAAAATTCACCCATTGTCAACAAAGCAGCCCCAGTGGCATGTTTCACCTACATGTATGAAATTTCTGTGGCACGTATCATGTTCAGATGTACCAAAAACCCTCTTGGAATTAATTAATGTATGTTTAATGTCTCTTCTCCTTGAATATTTGATCTAGTGTTTTGTCTTTGTTTTTTTTTTACTTTGAAGTACTTTATGACTGGTGTCTGTGAAAGCTGCTACATAAATAAACTTGTTTGCTTAAGCTTATGGGTGTGAAAAACACACAAATACTTGTTACTTCCTGTGTGTGTATGTATGTGTGTATATATGTTAAAGCCCGACTGATTTGGGTTTTTGGGGACCGATGCCAATATTAAAGTGAAAAAGAGTCAATTTATGAGCTGATTTTTTGATTTTGAAAATTATTTGGATAGTAGACCCCTATCCTGTATAAACTACACTTAGAACAGGCCAATATTAAAACCTGTATGTTCTGTATGTGGGCTATAATACCTTTTCCTAAATGGATTATGTTAATAAAATAGATTACAGTCTCAACAACTTAACATGTAAACAATTGCACACCAAAAAATATGTGCTGCTAGAAGGTGCAACTTTTTCAGCCATCTGTAAACAGAGAGAGTAAGAGAGAATAAACGTGTATTTTACTTTACACATAATCTGCCATAATAATTACTTTCAATGTAGCAAATTCACATCTAGTTATCTCTTTACCAGCATTCTATAATTCTAACCAAATCTACAAGAACCCATTTCTCAACCACTATCTGGCTCTAAAACATGCTGTCTACAGTGATCTGCTGTTGAATGCAGCTAATACTTCATGACTGTCTACAACCAGTACTTGCAACATTCACACTAACATTTTACATTTGAAAAAAGAGCAAACTTGCCGGTAGATAACTTTGTCTGTCAGGAAGCCGTGTTAGATACTTTTTCATCTCACGTTTATTTACATGTCCGCTCTGGTTTAATCATTTCAGACACCGTGTGGAACTTCAGACAAACGTCTTGCAGACATATTTAGAATATGTTAAACTCTAGGACTATAGTTTAACCACTCATTAATGTTAGTGCTCCTCCTCTGATAAACATGGCATTAGCTTTGTGGCTAATTTACCAATGTGCAGAATTAGCTCCAGTAAGCAATATTAATATTTAGAGGTGATGGACTTGTCACAGGGTTGGTTAGGTGTGTTTTGTGCTTGTGTCTGTGTTGATGATTTCACCATGGGGCAGCCCTATGAATGGCCTATAGATAGAGATGTGTGTGTGTTCATATGCATGCATGCCACTTCCTCATTTTCAAGTCAATTCTTGTAACTTTAAAGGAACTTCACTTCTATATCTGCTCGCAAGACCTGAAGAAAATGTAAGTCATCATAACTTCTATATGACACATTTAAAATCAAAGAACAAAAGGTACAGAGAAAAAAAGATGGAAAAATGTTAAAAACGTTGACACTTATTCAATAGTTATTTCCTGAGTCAGTAGAAAGCTACAATTGTATTTTTATATTCACTAACATAAAACTTTTACTGCCTATTTGGCAACGGGCTGTAACCTCAGAAAAGAACCACAGGCCTGATTTCTCTGTTGCTTGGAACAGCAATTATTCTGCTTCTTATGTGAAGAAATCAGGTCGGGTCGCCACAAACGCCACAAACTGACCTGCTCCCAACACAACACAAATAACCGTTGCTGAAAAGCAGCAGGCAAACTAATGCCAATGTATCAGTGGAGAGCATGGATAATTTTAACCTCAAGTTGATAAAAATATTACTGTAAAATTGCAGTTGGAGTTTAAATGAGTTTCCATCATGTTGTGTGCAGCTGAGTCTGTGTGTCTGTTTTTGCTCGCTTCAACAAGACATTCTTTCATCTTTTATGTCTTGTTTGTAACGGTTGTGAGTCAGGACAGAAAGACCCAAACGCAACACTCAGGATTAAACAGGTTTTATTAAGGGGGAAAAAAAGGGCTGACGGAGTGGTGGATACCGGGGGACACGGCCAGGGGAACCGAAGAGCTAGTAGGGCAGAGGAGGCTGAGACAAGGGAGCCAAGTGGCACGGGGGGACCGAGGAAGAGAAGAGGCACGGGAGAACTGACCCGGGGAGTCGGTGGAGGAGTGTGGTGGCAGGCTGACTGCGAGGCACAAGGAAGAGCAGGAAGGCCGCCGTGGCGGAAGCCAAAGAGGATAGGGCAGGTAGGCGAGCCCAGCCGACACGACGGAGGTGAGTGAACCTGGGGAGTGACTGCTGGCAGAGGAGATTGCTGATGAGGTGCAGGAGTGGATCATCAGCTGGGCTCAGGAGCGGAGAGAGAGAGGGAAAACACACAGGGGGAGAGGAGGAGACACAGAGAGGCAGGCAAAACACAGGGGAAAACAGAACGGTAGGAAAAAATAAACAGGACACTCACCGTCAGCCGGGCTGCCACCACAACAAACTGATTTTTATCAGTAAAATAATAATAATAATCTTTATTTGTGGAGCACTTTTCAAAAACAAGTTACAAAGTGCTTCAACAAGTGCAAAGACAATAATACAAGCAAGAAAACATTGAAAAGACCAAAATACACGTTTAAGATAAATATAAAATAAGTAAAATAGAATAAAATAAAGTCAAATAAGATCGGGAAAGGCTCTCCTATAAAAGTATGTTTTAAGAAGGGACTTAAAAGAGTTCACTGACTCAGCCGACCTGATTTCCTCGGGCAGGCTGTTCCAGATTCTCGGGGCCCTGACAGCAAACGCTCTGTCCCCTTTAGTTTTCAGTCGAGACTCTGGAACAGACAACAGACCTCTGCCCGAGGATCTCAAGGTACGTGCTGGTGTGTATGGGACTAAAAGGTCAGAAATATAACAAGGCGAGAGGCCATGAAGAGCTTTAAAAATGATCAATACATTTTTTTAGTCAATTCTAAAACATACTGGGAGCCAGTGTAATGAAGCTAAAATAGGAGTAATGTGGTCATATTTCTTTGTTCTGGTTAAAAGCCTGGCAGCTGAGTTCTGGACAGTCTGGAGTCGATCAGTAGATTTTTGGGTTAAACAAGTGAAAAGGCTGTTGCAATAATCCAGGCGTGATGAGATGAAGGCGTGTAAAATGGTCTCGGTGTCCTTAAAAGTTAACATAGATCGAATTTTGCTATATTTCTAAGTTGATAAAAACATGATTGAACAAGCTTTGTGGTGTGCTGCTCTATGGTCAAACCAAACATGGAGGACTGAAAATAAATACAGAAATAAATAAATGCTCAATAAATAAATAAGCATCTGATGTGTGCAGATCCAGTAGGCCTAGAGCTCTCCTGTCTGACTGATCCACCAATAGGAGAGAAGTTCACCCCTTGAAACACAGCCCCTCCTCATTTGCATAATGAGCCAGAAATGCATAGAGAAATGTAAAAAGGACAGGCAGAAATAAATACCATGGGTGAAAATAAATAGGGTAGAAAATAATAATAAATAAGTAATTACTAAATAAAGTTGAAGATTATAACTAAATAAATAAGGAACTTATTACAAATGTGAATGAATAAAGAAGCGAATTAAAATAGATATATACATTTATGTCTCCTTGTATAATTTCATTACTACCTACATTTATTTATTTACTTTATTTTTTGTGCATTTAATCGGATGTTTATTTATTTATTTATTTATTGAGCATTTATATATTTCTGTATTTATTTCTGAATTTGTCAGGATCAGTCCTCCATAAACACCAAGGTTCTTTGCAACAGGCTTAATGTGATTTACTAAGGAACCAGCAGATGGCAGTATTTGATTTGCCATCTGCTGGGATGCGGATTTCTGTTTTGTCTGAGTTCAGCTGGAGGAAATTATTTGACATCCATTTTTTCATTTTCACAAAGGCAGTTGTTAAGTGAACATTTGTGTGTCATCAGCATAAATATGAAAAGAAATATCATGTTTATGGATAATATGTCCAAGGTGAAGCAGATACAAGGAAAACAAAATGGGTCCTAAGAATATTTAACTGGAGAGAACGAAGAGACATTGTTTAAAATGTCCCCTTGCCTTCTATGAATGATAAATAGGTGCCCTGAAAAGGAAATAGAGGGTCAGCAAAACATTTATCCATCTGTAACTTCTGTATTGTCTCCAGAGTTGCTGCCTCTCCTGACACAAATATGGCTGCAGCTCTGGATCTCCTTCTCATTGGCTGGCTGCTGCAAAGTGAGTTGATCTTCATTCACATTTGAATCAATGACCATAAATCTAATAACTAGGAGTGGACTGGTAATCTGGCAAATGTGGGGCCGTTGTAATATACCACAGACTGTGAAGTGGCCCCTGCTCCCTGTGGCCTCTGTTTTTTACATTGCGGGCCCAAAAAAAGAGTCTTCAGTCAGACACCACGAAAATAACCGATATGTCTGCTACCGGTCTGCAGTAGTTTTAACATCAGCTGTAGTACCCAACGTAGTGCAGGCATAGACACTTGAAGGAGTAAAGGAGAGCCACTGCCAGGCAGATGAGGAGGCATGATGTGTGAAGTGTTTCGTCACAACCCTAATCTAAGCCCTTAAATGTCCCCACCACTTTTCAGCACAAAGTGAGACCCTTGGGTAGGGTGTGTGCCATGCATGTGACCATGATGATGATTACTTTAATTAAATGATCAATGATAATAATATAATCATAATGCTATTATAAAGCTGCATAAGCTATTTGATATATTTTTTTGTAGCTAGCATAGATTTCTGAAACAGTCTTAAAGGTTCAGTATGTAAGATTTACTGGCATCTAGTGGTGAGGGTTGTGAATTGCAACCATCTGTCAAGTCTACCACTGCCTTCTACCCTTTCAGAGTGTTGGATAGCTACGGTGGCTGACACAGCACAAAAGGTGTCTCTTCTGAGACAGCACAGCCAGTCAAGAAATGAGGTTTCTGTGGTATATTTATTAAGAAATTACATTTAGTTAATTATTCAATAAAACCATATGTTACTGTGACTTGACCACTGACAGATAGGAAATGTAAGCAAAGAGTGTGTAACACTGTCACTGTTTCTGCACTACAGTCCATTATAAACCACACATCAGATAAAGTATATATAAACATTGACAAGGGAATCACATTCATTGTCTCTGTGATTATGGACCATCGCCAAAACATCCTGATCCTGAGATTTTGAGGAAATGCAAAAGTGTCACTAGGTTGATGGATGTGTATCACACACCGAAACAAAAACAGTGCAGCACATGCCGTGATCTAAAAAACGTTTTCTGCAGAATCCATTTGCTGAAGAAAGGGGGAAAAAAAGTTGTCCCAGAGTGGGATCAAACACTCAACCTTTACAAGTCCTGTGCCTTACCAACTGAGCTAACCAAACAACATGTCAGTGTAGGTCAATATCCATCCATCCATCGTCAACTGCTTATCCTGCGTACAGGGTTGTGGGGGGCTGATACAATCCCAGCTGACATCGGGCGATAGGCAGGGTACACCCTGGACAGGTCACCAATCATCCACCATCTAATGCTTGAAAATTTTGCTCCGATACAAAACTTATTTACTGACACCTGCTGTAAATTATTACTACTTATTCTTCTTCTTCTCCTAACGTACATATTCAACACAGTGATGAGTGTCTTCACTGTCAAGAACGTAGTGAAGAAAAGCACTCTGTAGCTCTGTTTGCCCGTTTTCAGCTACTGTAGAAACATGACGGTGCAACGTGGTGACGTCCATTGAAAGGGGAGACCCGCGGTTATGCAGATAAATGGCTCATTTTAAGGTTATAAAAACATAATGGTTTATTATATAAGGTCTTTACACACCACTGAAAACTTAGTTATGGATCATATATTGCATTTCTGTCGATAGATCCTCAGAAATATTACACACATTACCTGTGGCTAACTGTTCTAATGGCTAAAATGAGTTTATTTTGTCAGCATCATGTTGGCTAATCCCACACTGCTGTGAAAATTCCTTGTAGGCTACTTGTACTTGAGCATGGGTTGTGTACTCCATGACCACCTCTGATGGAGTCAGTAAATGAGTACACTTATCCACAGCACATACCAATCAGCTGGTTTTGGAGAATATTACAGTAGGTACACATGTTACATGTGTAGCATGACTACATTGTTTTTAATACATTTATGAGAATTAAAATTATGAATTTGAATAATCATTCATAAAGCTCTCGTTTCGCGGGGCACCGCCTGAGTTTCCATTCGCCCAGGGTCTCGGGATTCCCTGACTAAGGCTAATAATTAGACAATTATTCACTAGTGATCAGTTAGTTAATAATCGCTCAATTATCTTAAATCAGTCAGTCAGTCTCATATCAAAGGGGTAAATTCTCGTGACAGGGACTTGGAGTTAGGTAATATACACACAACTCCTTTGGTTACAGTGAAATTTATTAACTAATCAAGGTGAATAAAAAAATGCGGTTAAAATGTACATCCAAGAAATAAACAATGGCTAAACAATGAGAATGTGGGTTTCTATTGTGGGGAGCATTTGACTCATACGGGTAGCTAATGAACACAAGCTATGAGTTTTAAGAGTTAAAGGTAATCTATTAACAACTATGGGACATCACTGATCACAGAATGCAGGGTTTTGGTCTTACTGAATGTCGTTTCTCCCAGCCGGTTGCTGTTAAACGGCCTTACACTGGCAGAGATCCGTGCATTCTCAGTTAGGACAGCTTAAAGCCGTCGGCCAGTCGCTTTCTCTGCCAGGGAATTGCTCCGGCTAGTGTAATTTCACTCATAAGAATAAAGCTTAAAAGAACTTGGTCGTTCTTGAATTAAACTAGTGTAACTTAGCGGTCTGATAACTTTTAACAAATAAAATAAAATAAAATAAAAAGCAAGTAAAGTTGTTGGAAACGAGGGAGAAATCGATGTTGCGGCGCTTCGCGTGAAAACGAGCAAAGACTTTGTTGAGCCGGGCCAAAGTTCTTAGGGTGTTGCCAGGAGAGGGGGCACGCTGGGCGCGTGCCGAAGTGCAGTAGGAGAGCCAGGAACAAGCAGAGGACAAGAGAGCGAACAAGAACGTGTATCGCTGTTTTGTCTTTTGGGCGTGGTTCACAGAGGGCAGTCCTTTGTTCCCCTGAGGGAGGGCTTGTCTTTTCTTTAACTTTTAATATGTCTAATCAATCTTAATTAATCTTTTTTTTTTATTTGCGTGTATTGTAATCAAATCTTAATTATCAAACGGGTATACCGTTCTTAGTTTTAAGCACTTGATAAAAAGGAAAACAATTGACAGTAGTTAGACCTTAAAACGTTAGCATTTCATAGGAATCACAGATGAGAGGAACTTAACTAGCTTTCTGGATATATTGGCTGTTACACGTTCTTAGAGAATATAAGCAAGATACACGAATGACATCAGATTATGGACGAGATAAATACAGGGTGATATTTATACATTAAACTGCATTTCAGACAATGGCATGTAATACTTATTTGGTCCACTTGGGGGAACTCGGGTTACAGATGGATAGCTTTGATTCACCAAAATGAATGCTTGCTGAAAATTAAAACGCTGCAAAATTTACTTATTTAGATTCTTTTCAAACAACAAATAACAACAACAACATGGTAACATAACTAAAATGGAGTGAGGAGACCTAGTTAAGTAACTAAAAGATTATTTAATTAAACAAGGTAATGCTTTGAGTTTTGAGGAGGCAGTACTCTTTTGTTTACACAAAGGAGGGCTGTCCTCCTGTGTCCTGGAGTCTTACCAGTTTACAACTGGGTGTGAAGAGGAGAATATCCTTTGTGAGGTAATTAAACAAAGAGGGAGGTCAGTTGCCATGGTTACGTGTGTGGGGGGCAGTTTGGGGTTTCCTGCCCTCTTTCCAAAAGAGTTTTGATAGGCTGTTCAGGAGAAAGCTAATCTCTGGTTAGTCTTTGTCATTTTAACAGTAAGGCACCCAGTCTTATCTTGGCTGCTGCCAAAGGTGGCCAGTTTTATGAAAGCCCAGAAACAGCACTTAGGGAAAGCAAACCTTTCCCCTCTTCCTTTGGGGTCTCTTCAGCCGTCTGTTGAGAGTTGATATCCCCCCCCAGAATGAGAGAGAGAGAGGAGTAATTTTGAGTCTCCAAATTATTTAATATAAAATGCACAAATCCACATTGTTTGTTCACAACACATGGAAGCATGGTGTATTGGTGAGGGGTATCTAACCGATTTTGGTTTACAGTTGTCATTATGGATTTTTGTGAATACGGTTTAGTGCTAATATTTTAGCAAGGTGACCAAAAAATAAAATACAGTGGAGTAAAGCAAAGTGTTCACTTGTTCTTGATAAAAGATCTATTTTTGTGTTTCAGGTGCCTTGTGTGGACAGTTTGAGGTCACTGTGCCGCAGACTATAGAGGTTCTGAGAGGATCCTGTGTGACCATCCCCTGCTCTTTTGACGTAGAGAACAAATATGAATCAAACTTGGATAACACATGTAAAGCATTATGGAAAAATGATCAAGACACTGTTGTGTTTAATAGCAGTGCTCCACAACAAACTACAATAAAAGGAGCATTTACAGGCAACTTGACAAAAAAAGACTGCACCACAACTCTGAATAACATGCAACCTGAACACAGCAAGAAATATTTCTTAAGAGTGCAATGCAACAACGTCCTGAGACATAATTTTCCTGACCAAAAATTGGAAATTTCAGTCAAAGGTAGATACTCACACTTCCGTCATTAATTGCCTTGATTTGCATTTATTGCATTTTGAAAATAGTATTAAAGATTTTTTTGACTGGTCAAAATGTACCTTCCCACCAGATGGTCCTCCCAGACCAACTCTGACTCCGTCCACACTGAAGGTGAAGGAGGGAACCTCAGTGAATGTGACGTGTTCTGCTCCAGCTCCCTGTCTGTCTCATCCTCCAACTCTGACATGGACCCCCAGCCTTGGTGACATTCATGAGACACTGCAGGAGAATCAGGACAAAACTAAATTCAAGACCTCTGTTCTGACCTTCACTGCCTCTCACCTCCGTCACAGACAAGAAATCTCCTGTACCGCTGTATACAACAAACAAGATGGCAGCACTGAGTCATCTGTTACCACAAGATTAACAGCTGATATTTTATGTGAGTTAATCTCCAATCACTCCTAATTTGCAAATCAACAACGCTCATAAAATATAGTGGAGAAAATGCACCTCAAAAATGATTGGCCATGCTTACAATCCTGTGACGCCGGATTTTATTAATTTTGTGTCAGAGCCTTTGATTTATCGATCGCTGTTGGGATGTAAAGAATGTAAAGAATTTCAAAAAATCTAACAAACAATGCTTCTGAAAATAATTGCCTAACCCAGCTTTAATGCAGCCTTTATTATTATAATAATGTTTATGCATTTCCATTAGACAATGCTAATATTAAATAAAGCTAATTAGCATGGGCCTCAAAACCAACCGGAAGGTAGAAATGCAGAAGAAAGTAAGCTGTTGTAAAGCACAATTAAAGTGAATGTTAATTTTGTCTGTAGCCTACAGTGGGTTGATCAATGATAAAAACAAGTCAGCTTGTGAAAGGCAGAAATTTCTCTTTCTCTCTCCATTGATTCTGCAACATGTCCTATCCTGTGCATTAGTGGATAGGATTCCCATCGCAAAAGTAGAAAAAGACAATTTTCCCTTGGAGTTCGATGTTCCAAATGGTGTCAGCACTTACTTCAGAAAAATAGTGTGACATAATTTACCATTATTTCATTTGTTATAACTCGAACTGACTTCACTTGACTCTTAACTTGTCTGTCCTCTCTACATTTATTACAGTTGCTCCACAGATCCTGCCCTCATCTGATTGCACCAAATCTGCCGGCCAGTTTAACTGTTCCTGTGAGAGTGTGGGAAAACCCTCTCCCACTTTACAGTGGTATTTGGATGGGTTTCCTGTCAATAACTCTGACAAGTTTGCAATCAGCAATGAGACTGTAAATGAGACAAGTCTGAGGAGCTTCATCATTGTGAGTGACCCACAGGGGAGGGGTGTTCCCACCTTGCTCTGCCACAGCTCCAACTCTCTGGGATCTGCTACTCAACGATTTTATGTCTACATCCTTCAGCCTTATGGTTTGTCTTTGCGCTGAATACAAGTTTTTATCAGGACTTCTTGAACAATTTATTTGTGTATTTATTTAGCTAATGACTATCCATATGCATACTGCTGCATTTCCTCTATTTTCAAATCTGAATAAGAACTGCTCAAAAAATTTATTTCTACTGAGACACTAATCATTTTAAACATGGGAGGAGATACACTGTAACCGGTACCCAAGTAGGATGATTTTTGTCAAAATGGACCTCGGTCTACCTGGGTCACAGGATCAGCATCATCCATCTAAAATTTGTATTTTTAACAACGCTGTTGTTCTTGTCAATAAAATGGCCAGGGTGAGTAGATAGAAGAGTTATCTACCAAATAGTGTTACTTCTCTTTACTAACTGCTCATCTCTGCAACTTTACCATTAGCGCCCCTGTCATCATCTTACATTAGTAGTTTGTTGTTCAATTTCTCACTCACACATACACAAATTTTTGAGGAATCTGTCAAACTTTAGTGTGTGTGCTTGAGTGTGCTAAATACTGTACATGTTGTGACAACCTGAGGTTTTAAAATATTTTCTTGATAAAAGAAAAAGATATATATTAGTTAGTAGTGATACAGACGACTATGATTTTTTTATGTGGCTAGTATGGCCTGAAGTAATATCTCACCTAGCTAAATTATGTCTACATTTTGACCAGAAAAAGTATCTCTTGTCTGAATAACTTCTTTATCCTAGAGTTCCATTGTCCCTTGTATGTTTCAGACCTCGTAACGTTGGCAGTCTTCATCACAATAGTTGTCATACTACTGGTAGTAGTGTGTGCTCTGCTGTTAGTTATCAGGTAAGGCAATCGCTTAATGAGTCACCTTTGTTATAGTGTTTTGTTATGAAAGTTACAGTAGAATCCATTCCCATAAGATTTTGTTTCCTATTTTCTTACTTGACGTTTCATAAATTTATTAAAATGAGAAGAGGAAAAACAAAGATGAATCAAATATACCCATGTACATTAAATGTTCCATTGCATTTTCCAGGGCTCAGAAGACTCGCCATTACCTTCTTAAGAGCACACTTGCAGTGAACCAACATGTAACCAGTGGAGAGGGAATTGAGGTACTTAGATTTAGAGTCAAGCAGTTTTCTACTTCAGGTAATTAAACCCAATTAGCAGAGTATCTTTACCACAGATGTTTTCTCTTTAATTGCAGGGGCCCAAAGCAACAGAAGAGGACATTTATGTCAACACTGTCGAGCCCTGGTTCTTGAAGTAGAGTGGACGTCTGGTAATTGTAATTTTCATCCCGGGCTCCTCTAGAGAGAGTGTTGAATTGGCCTTGAGCAAGACACTGAACCTTTAACTGCTGGTTGGCACCTTGGATAAATAAAATGGAGCCTAGAAATATGTAAATGTACCGTACTTGTATAGCGCCTTTCTAGTCTTTTCGACCACTCAAAGCGCTTTTACACTACATCTGCATTCACCAGTCACACACATTCATACACTGAGCCTAAGTGCTCAAACGGAAACTAACATTCACACTCATTCGTACACTGGCGGAATAGCCGCCAGGGGCAATTCGGGGTTCAGTATCTTGCCCAAGGACACTTCGACACGCAACCAGGGGGAGCCAGGCATTGAACCGCCGACCTTCCGATTAACGGCCAACCCGCTCTACCTCCTGAGCCACAGCCGCCCAATATGAATGAGGAAGTGGAATGTGACTACACCCTGGTTAATTTTTAAAACAAGGGCTATATGCACGATTAGATCACAGTTTAATTTAGAAAAATGTCTAGTTCTCTTGTATGTATGTTTTTGATTTGTTGTTCAATTCAAACAACTTCATTTATCCTTGTAGGGCAATTCAGTTTCTGCCAGTCACATAAGACAAGACAAAAACAGAACAACTACGATCAATCAAACATTCAGAAAAGAAGTCACTGACAACATATATGCATTTGGGCAAGCAAAAGTAAATATTATGTGTACATAATAAAGAGCAGAGGATAAGGGGGGTGTAGAGAGGATAAGGTGGTGGTAAAGTAGACTTGAGTACAGTAACAGATCAGTGGGCCATCACATCTGTTGAGACAACCTGAGGATTTAAAACATTTTCTTGATAAAAGAAAAAGGTATATTAGTTAGTAGTGGTGGTAAAGTAACAGATCGGTGGGCCTTCACAGACATATAAGAAAAACCTGAGGTGTTAGAGGCATGTATATGTCAAAAATATGTAGTGACATATAGTGACTCAGATCTATGACTCACCATTAAATATCTGCTCAGTATTGTCAACACCTATGCCATAGTCTAAAAGATCTTAATGTGCATAAATCATATAATACAAAATCACCATAATTTCACTGGAGTGACATTGTCAAACGGTGACTTACTGAATGGTGCACAGTGGTGTACAGCGACTACTTTCTTCATGGGGACTACCCATCTGCTTAGACTGCTAAGCTTGTTTACTGGTAATATTGAGCTGTCTCTGGTTCTGTTGCTAAGTAATATTTTAAACATAAAAAAGATAAGCTAATATTGAAATGTTAGTGTCATCTTAAAAAAGTACAAAGCATTTGAGAGTTTGGCCTTGTGGATGGAAATAAAAAAATTGTTTTAAACCTGCATAAATAGAACATATAGCAATTACTCACTCTTAATTATTACTAACATACTTATTTGAAAATTGTTGTACCCTATTTGTGAGGTTACTTTTCACTTTCTATAACAACGTAATAATTGTGTAACCATGGAACTGTACTTTGTTTGATAATATGATAATCAATAAAAACAACTTTTCTGACGCAACATGTTTTGCATTGTAGTGTATCTATAACAAAAAGGGGGATGTATGTTCCTTATATGTTGCAATAGATTCTTGAAGATTGATCTTTCATTCAGTATGGTATGTTACAGCAATATTTTTGTTAACTTTGTTTCTGTAGCATCACAGACAGCTTTTCAGAGTCTTTCACACCAAGATCCCTGCCTGACTTAAGGCCCTCCAACCCCAAATCCGAAGTAGTTAGGGGTTGTAACAAGGTCTGCTACATGAAAGACTCCTTAGTGCTGGTTGCAAAGAAATCATCCAGATAATCTGAACCTCCGGCGCATTTAAAGTAACTGGCTTTACTTTAAGGCTAGTATAACACTATCCAGGCATCCTAACCTTCCCATGAACTACAGGTTTAACAGCCTCTGGGTTGACAGAACCACCATAAACAAATGCCTTCAAAATTGACCTACACACACACACACACACACACACACACACACACACACACACCAAAGAAAGAGTCCTTTGTTCTCTCCTTGCATCAGAGTGTCAAACTGATTAGGCCAGCAGATATGGTCAAAAACTCTACAGGCCTTGTGCTTTGAAGAAGATACTTCTAGGTTCTTTCATCTAGCAAACCTAAAATCTATAGTAACAAAAGTGCAAATGTTAAACCTGTTTAAATACTGTTCTACAGATCTCATTGGAGCCATTATTCATTTTCTAGTCCAAGAATTGAATGAGATATGAATGATAAAACTAATTAAATTTATTGCCAAATTCTCTTCATGGAGTCACAGTGCTCTCCTGAGGACAAAAGAGGTATTACAGAACGCGTAATTTGATCCATCCTTTTATGTGCAGTAGAGCTGACCCCGAATAGTCAAAGATTCGATGCTTCGATAGGTGGAGCTTGATTCGGCTGTCAATCTTACAGTCAAAGCTTGGCAGCGAAACAAGGATCATGCCATTTTGGATGGCATAGTTATGGTGGTGCTCAATGTCTGATTTTACATAGAACTACCAGATTTCTCCCAATAAGTGAATATACAGCCTATTACAATGTACATTTCAACATTTAATGCTGTAAATAAACATGTAAAAAGAATAAAACTTCCAATAAATGTTTTTAAAGTGCGTAGCGTGTATGTAGCAGCAGAAGAGGAACACTTGCTGAAGAGACCGAGCCCCAGCTTCAGCGGTGTTGTGCAGAGTTATCAGATCGGATTTATCACCGTTGATGAACCACATAAAGAGTATTTTATCGCCAGCTCCTTGAAATAGATCCACAAGGAACTGCGATGTGCATGCACTTGTTGGCAGCACGGCATACACGCAACTCTGCGCAAGACCGGTGAATGATAGGCGAGAGAGAGAAAAGGGTCTTCAAAAAGCCTCAGTTTAGCAGGAAATTTACAGTGTAAATTGGATGAATAGAGACTGCTTCTCATGATTCTCAAGATTAAAGCGGAGCTACCGTGTGTACTTTTTCCGATTCAGTTTTGAAATAGAACAATCAAAGAACGAACGATACATGGATTCACAACACTAACATTTGTTTGCTTCTATACTATGCCTCCCACCCTTCCCTCCTCCTCACCACCACATCTTGGAGGTGAGAATCTGGAGCATCACTGTACCCACAACAGTTACTGCAGTTGAGGGGACCTGTGTTGTGGTGCCATGTCAGACACAACCTCATTCTCAGGTCATCTGATACAAGTACGATAAAATATATTACCCTGTGGTGTATGACAGACTTCACCCTTTTACAGTGGACCACCAGTCCAGAGGACGCACTTCAGTACTTGGTAAAGCTGCAGAGAGTAACTGCGCCCTGATGATTGATATTGTGAAGACAGTAGACATTAACATTCAAGTTTGGATCAACCCAGACTCTGCTGCAAGTCACAAATTATATGATTAAACTGTAACTATCTGTGTTGGTAAGTGTTTGTGAACTTACATGTGACTAAGGAAATCCAAGCCTGCATGCAGAGAAATGTGTACCATAGAAAAGACCACTGTAACTCAGTTCCCTACATTACTGCTACACACAGCTACAGCATGTAGACAGTTAACATACTACCGTTAATTTTCCTCTATACGTGAACATGAACTGTCACATTATTAAGTTGTTGACTACAACTGAAAGCTACACAGTCACATTTGCACATTTGATCTGCACCTTACCCAAGCTGTGATCTATCAAATCAAATTCACATACACCATTTTTGTAATATAAAACATCTTATTTACACAATCTATAAATCAAAGGAGTATTTTTTTCTATTTTCACTGTGTTTGTACTTGTGATGAGAATGGTCATGAATTACATGAATGACCAACTATAAAACATAATTTAAGTACACTATATATATAAACACTGTAGGAAGCCTATGAAAGACAAAAGAGATTTAGATTTAGAACAACAGTGTGTAAATGGTATACCCAATAATTCTGATAATCTGATAAAAGTGCTTAATTTTGGGCTGTATTTATGGCATTTTGAATGCTGTGTTTCATTTTGAAGGATATATGAGTCATTTTACATTTTGTGTGAGCAGTTTTGGGAATTGTGTGTAGAGTTTTGAAATAAGGAGACATAGTTTTGAAAACGTGTATAAGCAGTTGTAAAAAACTGCAATCTTGAGCCCTAAAGTCAACGAGTGATTTTCGTGCAAAATACTGTTCATGAATATCATGCTCTAATCTAGTATCTATCCACCCTATCCACACACATCAAACCGCAAGCATCTAAATGAGCTTATATCACAACATATTTCGCTCTGTGAACACTGCACATGCCTGTAGTTATAACCATCCAGACATATCTCATCTCATCTTGCACTCACTTCTGACCAGTCATTTTAAAGCTTAGAGCCTCCTGAGATGAGCTGTGTAACTCATCATATCAGTAATTAGCCGGACAGCCATTACAACAAATGCACCAAATACATATACTATTATATAAAAATAATAATTGTATAATAATAATACAATACACATAACCGCTGATTTACTTTTGCCGTTGTCAGTCCAAAAACTGCACTGTTGTTTACAAAATCGCTGCCGCCACGCCATTTTAGTATAGCACAATACCTCTCTGAGCTCTGCCAGCTTCCATGTTTTGCTTTGGAACACACAGTCTTTATTGCTGTCTGGTGGCCGACTTGTAGTAGTTACACAGACATGCAATATACCAAATGAAAACTCTGCTCAAGATGAATATCCAACACTAATGGATGTTCGGTTCTTGGAAGTTCTTGGCCTGTAAACCATGGGAGTTCTTTGGTCATAGGAATGTTGATCAATGTTGTATTTATTAATATTTTGGATACTTTATGTTATTTATAACGTGGTTGTATAGACATGTTTTCTTACAAACACAATAGTGTTCTGCCTGTGACAGCCATGGACAACCTAAATTTGTTTGTGTGTGTGTGTGTGTGTGCGCATAAACCTGTCGCAGAATGTAGTTGTTAGTGAGAATAGGAAGCCACAACAGCTCCGCATCCAGTAGCCAGGGCACCCTGGGATCCTCCGAAAGTGCAAAGGACCCGAGACCACATGTCCTGGAGACAGCTATACCCTGCCCCAAGGGAGAACAGCAGAGAGCTGTAATGAGGAGCTCCTCCCCATTCACCAGGGAGCAAGAATGCGGGAGAACCAGGGACGACAGCCCCTCCACCCAGCCAGAGGCCCAGTGCAGGCAAAGCCAGCAGCCCCCAACTGCCCCGCCCACCGACCGCCTCACAGCCTGCGACATAACCAAAGGTGTAAGGTGGAGGAGGTCATAGGGAGGCTAGACTGGTCCTCCCCACAGGGACCAGGTTCCTGATTGGCCCCAGCATTCAGCCCCATCCCCCACACCCCTATGCAAGAGGATGCCAGGTCCCTCCAGCCCAGGGCTTGTAGCACGAGCCCCTTGAACACCGCTAACATGAGCCAGCGACAACCCTGCCGAGCCCTATAGGGTAGGTCCAGGGGATCCCAGCCCCCCAGTGTGCAGACCTAGAGATCCAAAGCCCCGAACAAATGGACCCCACACATCCCCGAGGCAGCTCAGCACAGCCCCACACCTGAAGCCAACCAACCTCCCCTTTCGCCAGGGCCCCCCCCCGACAGTCAGTCAGCCCCCCACCCTACCTCCCCACACAATCTGCAGGCATGCCAGCACACCCCGGAGCACTACCACTAGACTATCGGGGCAGGCACGAGCCCCTCCACAAAGGAAAAGGCCCGGAGAGGCAGGAACCCCGCCCAGGGACAGAGTGTCCCAACAGCCCCCAGGGCCCAGACCTGCAGCCCCGCCCAAACCCAGGAAGCAAGGCCACCCAGCCCAGGCCAGAAGCCCGCCAACCCCAACCCATGCTCCCCTTCCGCCCCAGCAGTGAAAAAGCACCCCCCACACACACACCCTCCACCCCCCAAAGGAAAGGAACAGCAGCCACCCCACAACAGCAGCAACAGCCCCCAGCCCCAGGAGGCCACCAGACGCACAAAGCCCCTAGTACCCATTATGGATTTAACCTGTTGATATTCAAGAAATCTATTATTGCCAATTCCCTGGAAATAGGTGTTACTCTTTAACAACGTTTAAATGCTGTTCTTTCTGAGGACCCTGAGATCTTTATATAATACATATAATATAATATATAACAAAAAAACATCCAGCAGGACTCCTCACACCCCGGAAACCCCTTCTTCACCACCCTCCCCTCAGGCAGACTCACAAACAGACTACGGAACCAACCTGTTGAAAACAGTTTCTGATAAAAGTACATTTCATTGTGACATGCGTGTACACTTTTGTGACTTCCTCATTTACAAGTTATTTCTTGCAGGCTGTTGGAAAAAGCAGCACAACTTTGAAGGAACTTCACCTCTCTACACTTTCATCTTTCATCTGCTCAAAAGACCTGAACAAAATGTAAGTCATCATAACTTTTATATGAAATCATAAACATTTATTTTGAATACATAATACACACTTCTGCAAAACGTAAACAATAAGTCATTTGACTATTTAAAACTTTAGAAATTTTAAGGTGTTTGGGCATTATTACTGTTGCATATATCAGTTGCCTAAAACTAAATATAGCTTTGTAAATAAATAGAAAATAAACAAATGAAAGACACCATGTTTCTCACTTTTGTCTTTAGCAAACAGTAAAGCTTGCTGTTTTATCTTTTTATCACCATTTCATCTTCTTTGTCTAGTGTAAGAAAAGCAGCATGTTTTAACAAAGTGAATGTTACTAAGGGCTGCAAATATTGAATTAGATAGTGGCCTCCAAATAAACCATTCTCTTAAAATGAGAATTAATTACAGACGAAATGCACAAAACCTGAATTGTTCCATGTGTAACCTCCATAGTTTCTGCCTTTCCTAACACATAGATGGCTGCAGGTCTGACTCTCCATCTCATTGGCTGTCTGCTGCAAAGTGAGTTGACGTTTAATAACATTTAGAGTAATGACTATTAAAAACAACACAATGTTTGTCAAGCATTCACTCCATAGTACTACAATATCTGTAATACATACTGTAGCATGAAGTACACAGTGAGAAGAAGTGTTCAGCAGACTTTTTATTAAAACTTTAATTTGATGGGTTTTAAGTTTGTTATTTTAATCTAAACATTTAGAAAACAAACAAATCAGAATGTTTACAGTCATCATTTTGAATTATTTAATTAATAAGGTACTGTGCTAAGAATTTAGCAAACAACTTAACAGTAAAATGTCCTCATCACTGTAAAGTAGTATTCACTTGTTCTTATTCAAAGATTTGTGTTTTGTGTTTCAGGTGCCTTGTGTGGACAGTTTGGGGTCACTGTGCCGCAGACTATACAGGTTCTGAGAGGATCCTGTGTGACCATCCCCTGCTCTTTTGATGTAGAGAACAACTATGAATCAAACTTGGATAACACATGTAAAGCATTATGGAAAAATGATCAAGACACTGTTGTGTTTAATAGCAGTGCTCCACAACAAACTACAATAAAAGGAGAATTGACAGGAGACCTAATAAAAAAAGACTGCACCACAACTCTGAATAACATGCAACCTGAACACAGCAAGAAATATTCCTTCAGAGTGGAATGCAACAACGCCCTAAAATATGGTTTTCTCCAAAAATTGGAAATTGCAGTCCAAGGTAAATACTCACACTTCCGTAATTACTTGCCTTGATTTGCATTTATTGCATTTTGAAAATAGTATTAAAGATTTTTTTGACAGGTCAAAATGTACCTTCCCACCAGATGGTCCTCCCAGACCAACTCTGACTCCGTCCACACTGAAGGTGAAGGAGGGAACCTCAGTGAATGTGACGTGTTCTGCTCCAGCTCCCTGTCTGTCTCATCCTCCAACTCTGACATGGACCCCCAGCCTTGGTGACATTCATGAGACACTGCAGGAGAATCAGGACAAAACTAAATTCAAGACCTCTGTTCTGACCTTCACTGCCTCTCACCTCCGTCACAGACAAGAAATCTCCTGTACCGCAGTATACAACAAACAAGATGGCAGCACTGAGTCATCTGTTACCACAAGATTAACAGCTGATATTTCATGTGAGTTCCTCTTTCATTATAATTATAAAAATTATGATTGATCTTAGTTTTCTTGACTTAGTTTGAATTAGGGTTGAATTAGTCGATTAATTCATTAGTCGATCAACTTCTGATAAGCGGTCATGGTAATTTTTTACAAGATAGATGGTAAAAATTAATAAATCCATCTACCCTGACTTCATGAAAAGGCAGTTGTCTGACATCAAACAACAATGGCAGCATCCATGGAAACGCATAGTGTAGCTAAACTTCAAATGTGCCTTCGGGATGTTAAAACCTGGATGACCTGTAATTTTCTAATGTTAAACTCAGATAAAACTGAAGTTATTGTTCTGGGGCCCAAACACCTCCGTGACGCATTATCTAAAGATATAGTTTCCCTTGATGGCATCGTCCTGGCCTCCAGCAACACTGTGAGGAAACTTGGAGTTATCTTTGATCAGGACATGTCGTTTAAGTCTCACATTAAGAAAATTTCAAGAACTGCCTTTTTTCACCTACGTAATATTGCGAAAATCAGGAACATCCTGTCTAAAAATGATGCAGAAAAACTAGTCCATGCATTTGTTACTTCTAGGCTGGATTACTGCAATTCTTTATTATCAGGCTGCTCGAAAAAGAAGTGCATTAAGACTCTTCAGCTGATCCAGAATGCTGCAGAACGTGTTCTGACAGGAACCAGGAAAAGAGATCACATTTCTCCTGTTTTAGCTTCTCTGCATTGGCTTCCAGTAAAATCCAGAATAGAATTTAAAATCATTCTTCTTACCTACAAAGCTCTTAATGGTCAGGCACCATCTTATCTTAAAGAGCTCACAGTACCTTACTACCCCACCAGAGCACTGCGCTCCCAGAATGCAGGGTTACTTGTGGTTCCTAGAGTCTCCAAAAGTAGACTAGGAGCCAGAGCGTTCAGCTATCAAGCTCCTCTCCTGTGGAACCAGGTTCCAGTTTGGGTTCAGGAGGCAGACACCATCTCCACATTTAAGAGTAGGCTTAAGACTTTCCTCTAATAAAGCTTATAGTTAGGGCTGGCTCAGGTGAGTCCTGAACCATCCCTTCGTTATGCTGCTATAGGCCTAGACTGCCGGGGGATTTCCCATGATGCACTGAGCTCCTCTCTCCTCTACTTTCTCTCCCTCTGTATGCAACCTCATCCCATTATTGCATGTTACTAACACAACTTCTCCCCTTTCCGGTAGTCTTGTGCTTTCTCGTCCCTCTCCTCTCTCCTCCTATCACTTCCTGCAGGTTTTCTGGCTCTGGAGCTGTGGAGTCTGGATCTGTGGCTGCGGGTCACCTGCTGCCCCCGTGTTCCTGCTCAACACCCTCTGCTGCAACGACTATTGTTACTAGTCCTATTGTTATTATTGTTATTATAATCATTAATATTACGACTGTTATCATTAACACTACTATAAATATCTGTACCATTTTTCATTTAGTCTATAGCAACATCACCTTTACTGTCTGTACCTCTGTGTGTGTATTGTGTAGGCTGCCTCCCTCTCTCCTTGCGTCCCTCTCTTTTCTCTCTGTTCCTCTCTTGCCCTCTCCCTCTCTCTCTCTCTCTCTCCTTCACCCCCAACCAGTCGAGGCAGATGGCCGCCCACCCTGAGCCATGGTTCTGCTCGAGGTTTCTGCCTCTTAAAAGGAAGTTTTTCCTTGCCTCTGTCGCCTAGTGCTGCTCTTGGTGGGAATTGTTGGGCTTCTGTAAATAACATCACAGAGTACGGTCTAGACCTGCTCTTTATGAAAAGCGCTGTGAGATAACTGTTGTTGTGATTTGGCGCTATATAAATAAAATTGAATAGTGTAAATGGTAAACCATCAACTAAAAGGCAACAAAATTTATTTGCATTAATTAAGATAAACACTATCATATATTAAAACCTGTTCTTTAGGTAAATTGGTATCAACATATGTCATAAATGTTCTTAGGATGCTGATTACAGTAAACAATCTCTGAAAGTCATCTTCTCTGCACACAAGTTATTCATAAAACATTAAAGATGACAAGAAATGTCAAAACATTAGGAAATATAGGCCTTCAACACTTTTTCAGATTAACAGCCAATGTAACTAGATGGGAAAACAGTTACATATATTTTTATCACTTGTCATCTTTTAAATTAACACCAAAAGCACTGCTGAGGGTTCAATTGTGTGTTGACAAAGAAACATCAGTTTGTCACATCAGCAATGTATTTTGTTACGTTTGGCCTCATACACCTGGAACCTGGAACACTTTGATGTTGGAAATTTCCACTGGGCAATGTTGCTGGGCAATCTCGCTGGTGGCAAGTCCCACTATGTTTTGAATGGATCCGCGGGGCGGGTGGCGGAGTGCTGTGGGAAGGGGATTATGGTAGTAATCTTTACCCATTACCATTGCCCAGCACCACTGCTCTAAAAGTTGCTCTGTGTATCATCAGCTTAAGTATCACATCATTCAGGTATTTATAGTCAAGTAAAGCTCTTAATTTTATCTACTCATTACTTACAGTAATTTAGACATGTAGTGTTAGGGCTGCTAAGTTAGCTGCTCAGCTGAGATAACTAGCGAATGGCGGTTTGCAGCAGTAATAGATATGTGATATGCTGCCCCTTATTTTTTTGGAGTTAGAATTCAGAGTAATCTCATTTACACACTGCACCTTTAACGTGTCTGTCCTCTCATTACAGTTGCACCACAGATCCTGCCCTCATCTGATTGCACTAAAACCAAAACTGCAAGTCAGTTCAACTGTTCCTGTGAGACTTCAGGGAACCCCTCTCCCACTTTACAGTGGTATTTGGATGGATTACATGTCAATCACTCTGACAAGATTGCAGTCAGCAATGAATTTCTAAATGACACAAGCCTGAGGAGCTTCATCACTGTGAGTCAGCCAAATCTTTCCACCTTGCTCTGCTGCAGCTCCAACTCCCTGGGATCTGCTACTCAGCGATTTTATGTCTACATCCTTCAACTTCAAACATCTGCAGAAGGTCAGGATCCATCTTATGTGTACGGATTGTAAATGTTATTGGTTAGCTGGAAGCTGTCAGAACTAAAAATGTATAAATAATTTAGCTAATGACTACTAGAGATGAAACAGTTTGAAAATTTCCCATCATGATTATGGTGACCAAAATTATCACTCTCATCAGTATTATGGTGGTATTGTTCAAATGTGCTGAAAATGTCGAAAAGTACTGATAGACAGTGAAACCATTTCACCAAGTTTTAGCCAAACTAGATAATGTGTTACGTGAAGCAGGCGAATACAGTCTGCAGACACACAATGCATACAGAAATAGCAAGTTTGACAGACAAACCATGACATTTTATTTCATTCCGAAACTTACAGTGTATTTGCTATAAAGCAATTTTCTTTGATCAAGTTTCCCTGAGCACTCTTACAAAAACTAAATACGATCACACTTTATACCATAGGTGTTGCTGGACCCTTTTTCCTGGGGCCCGAGCCCCTGTCTCTATGTGCTGTGCCCCAGTGAAATTGTCAAGACCCCTTGGCGTTGGTTTTGTACGTGTAGTGCTCTGCGGTCAAGTTAGCAACAATTGGCTGCATCTGCAACGTCCGGTTACACTTTCAAAATAAAACTACTGGTTAATGTGAAGCAGAGGGTAAGCCAGTTAACGAAATGAAACGTCGCAAAAAACGAGTCATTGTTGAAAGCGGGTGTTTATAACAGTGATGAGAGGACAAACGGGGACTATCCTTCTGTGCACAAGAAGAGAAAAAAAACCCAATGAGCGTGACTTTTGTGAACAGCAGTCACGTAAACTTGTGTCCTCTTTTCTGAAAGTCTGATGTGAGCAGGTTCATGTGCAGCTGCAGTGAATCTTTCTCTGTCTGTCCTGCTAACCCAACTGGGCAGTGCAGCTACGTCAGTCTGTGTCTTGGTAGCTTGCCAGACTGTAGCTGAACAATTTTAGAGTGAAACAGTACTAATTATTAAGCTTGATAAACGGCAACGGGCAATGTTTATAAACTGCAGCAAGGAAATGATGAAACGCGTGAACATGCGCTCGTAAGTGTGTGCACGAAATTAAACTCGACCTTATTGCATTCCAGCAGTAACATTAGTGGGACCAGTCCAGACAGCTCACAGATGTGATGGCTCACATCATTTTAAAACAATGATTATCTGTCTCTCAGTGAAGGTTTAGTTACAACTCTGGACTAATGCAAGAAGGAAAGCAGTGGATTCACACTGACTATTAAAATGTTATTAGCAACTCAGACTGGGCAATAGGCTATGGATGTACATCTCTCAGTAAATAAAAAACATCACTTATTCGGTCAAGTCATAGTATAAATTAGAGCTGGACAATAAAACAATAACAATAATTAAGTATAATTTTCCTCAATAACAATATAACAAATGTTCAATAAATATTCAATAAATGCTTGCTCTTATTCATCTGAATCATGAATGAATTAGCACTTACTTTTTCTGTTAAGATATATTTTGTTGAGGAAAAAGGAACACAAAATATATTTAACTTAATTTTACTTGTGTACATTTGTTGAAAACATCAATTAACCATCTGGTTTCCAAAGTATCCAAAATCAGACTTTAAACTCAATAGAAGTAATGATGTGACATTTAATCCTGATCATTTTCAATATCGAATGATATGAAAATCTTTATGATGATAACATTTTTTTCCATATCGCTCAGCCCTAGTATAAATAGTATTTTAGCTTAAAAAGTGTTAAAGGAAAACTGGGAGCCAGCTTGAATGGGCCTGATGCCACTGCAACATTAATATCTAGCAAGTATTGATATTTATAATTTCAGGGGCTATGCTTAAATTTATCGGTAAAGTAGATGCTGGATCATAAGCCAGTACAAGCACAGTTGATCCAAATCCAGTACCAGCACAGACCCGGAGATTTAATTCACCCAGAGTCTCCGGACTTGGAGGTAGGCAAAACACACACACAATTCCTGTGATTACAGTGAAATTTATTAACTAACTAAAGTGACATAAATGTGGTTAAATACACATCCAAGAAATAAGCAATGGCTAAACAATGAGATTGTGGAGTTCTATTGTGGGGAGAATTTGATTCACACGGGCATCTAATGAACGCAAGCTATGAGTTTTAAAAGTTAAAGATAATCTATTAACAACTATTGGACATCACTGTTCACAGAATGCCTTGGTTTGGTGTTACTGCTTGTCGTTTCTCCCAGCCGAGTTGCTGGTCAACGGCCTGCCTTGGCCTGTTGCACGGGTCCCCACGCTAGCTGCCCGATTCCTGGCTTTCTGCTATGGAATTTTCCGGGGGTTCTCTGTGTCTGAATGAAGAAAAACACTCCAGTGTTGACCGTCCTCGGCCTGGCAATTAGGCTGTTCTGTTAGGATGTCCTTTGGGTTACTGCTGGCGGGCCCACGTGGCTGGGTCCGGGCGTCGGTGGGAGCAGCATAAGTTAGCTCGACGAATAAAGCTTAAAAGAACTTGGTTGTTCTTGAATTAAAATTGTGAAACGGACTGATAACTTTTGACAAACAAAAGGAAATTAAATAAAAAGCAAGTAAGTTGCTGTGAACTAGGGAAAAGTCGAGGTTGCAGCACGAACGAACAAAGACCCTTCGCTGCGCCGGGTCGAACTTCTTTGGGCATTGCCGGGAGAGGGAGCATGCTAGGCGCGTGCGGAAGTGCAGGTCAAGAGGACAAGAGAAGAGAGAGAGCGAGTGTGTATCGCTGCTTTTGTTGGTTGGGGCGTGTTTCCCAGAGGGCAGTACTTTGTTCCCCTGAGGGCTTGTTTCCGATTTCCTGGGAGACCGTCTTTTCTTTAACTTTTAATATGTCTATTCAAAAACCAATTTGCACGTATTGTAATCAAATATCTTCCCACAATCAAACCTTAATTGTCAAACGGGTATACCGTTCTTAGTTTTAAGCATTTGATAAAAAGGAAAACAACTGTCAGTTAAACCTTAAGGTTAGCATTTCAGAATCACATCAGATGAGAGGAACTTAACTAGCTTTCTGGATATATTGGCTGAAGACAGAGTGACATTTAAACATTAAAACGGCATTTCAGAACGATGGCATGTAATACTTATTTTGTCCAGTTGGGGGAGCTCTGGTTACATGAGGAGTAGATATTCAACTTTGAGCTTCTTTACTTGACCTAAACTGAGTTTAGTGATTTAACATTAAATTTGAGCTGGAAAATTATATTATATTAATATTAAGTATAGGATGACATTTCTTTATCATATCCTTTCTAAAGGAAATGTCAGAAAATGTGGGGAACAAAGCATTGATTACAACATAAAAGGAACAAGTGTCAGGGATCCTTGCTGAAAATTAAAACACTGCAAAATTAACTTATTTAGATTTCAGCAACAAATATCAACATCAACATGGTATCATAACTACTGAAATGGAGTGGAGAGACCTAGTAAGTAACTTAAAGATTATTTAATTAAACAAGGTAATGCTATGAGTTTTGAGGAGACAGTACTCTGTGTTTACACAAAGGAGTTCAGGGCTGTCCTCTGGTGTCCTGGAGTTTCTCACGAATTCAGATCTGGGCGTGAAGAAGAGAATACCCTTTGATGTGAGGTAATTAAACAAAGAGGGAGGTCAATTGCCATGGTTACGTGTGTGGGGGGCAGTTTAGGGTTTCCTGCCTAAGAGAGGGCAGGTTAGTCTTTCTTTGTAATTTTAACAGTCAGGTACAAGGTCAAAGTGCAGGCCAAAGGTGGCCAGTTTTCCGATCGAACTGCCCAGAAACAGCACTTAGGGAAAGCAAACCTTTCACCTCCTCCTTTGGTCGCTTCAGCTGTCTGTTGAGGGTTGATATCTCAAACCCCCTCCTCTTTCTCCCAGGGAGCGATAAGGAATTTGGAGTTGTCCAAATTTATTTGATATAAAATGCACAAATCCACAATGTTTGTTCACAACAATGAAATGGTTTGATTATGCCTTAGCGCACTGTATCAGTGAAGGTGTTTAGTTGCAGTTAGTAGATGCGCCAGAAATACAGTGATCACAATGATGCATAGTAAACCAAAATCTGGTTTTCAAAAAAAGAAAGAGAGAAAAGAGAGAGAGAGGAAAGACAAAGGAAAGGATGTCACTCAGTAACCACGTTTTTCACCAAGGTGGGCAGCCTTTAGTCTGTGAGTGGTGTTAAACAAAGAGGTGGTATTATGCTTTTTGGCTTTTCCCCTCTGCTTTATTGAGTTATATCTCTTCTTTGTGCATGTAACAGGTTTGCAAAGTGAAAAAGCCCAAAGTCCAGCCCAAAGGCAGTTCCCATCTCCCACAGAAAGCAATTATCTGAACCGCTTGAAAACAGCTCGTTTGTAGTCCAGCCCTTCACTTCCTTTACTTGTGACCTCACAATGAAAAAGCATCATAAAGCTTGCCAAGCAGCTAGTGGGGTCAGGCACGTCCTCAAACCAAGCTAGTCTGAGCGGAGGCCCTTTGGCTCGACTCATCTTTGTTTGGTTTTCCATTGTAGAAATGTTGTACCTGTACCTGCTTCCAGGTACTTTTTTTCGTATCACCTCACCTCTGTCGAGGTTCTAAGCGAGCTGGGGGATACTAAATGTGATAATGTAATAATAATAATAATACATTTTATTAAGTGCTACAGGTTAGAAAAAAACAAAAATGAGCAGTTCTTTAGAAAACAAAACATCTAAAGGGGACCAAAAGCTTTGCTAAAAAGATATGTCTTAAGGCCTTTTTTAAAACAGTCAGTGGATTGAGGTGCCCTCAAGGTGTCAGGGAGGGCATTCCACAGATGTGGGGGAGCAGCACAAAATGCCCTATCTCCCATTGTCCTGAGTCTGGTTCTGGGTATGTGGAGGAGGCTTGAGTGAGTGGAGCGAAGGGAACGGGTTATGTTTTGTGGGTTCATAACTTCTTTGAGGTGGGGGGGGGGGGGCATGTCTATGGATGCATTGATGTGTGAGGAGGGAAACCTTGTACTCAATGAATGTACTGAAGCCTCTGCAGACTCTTTCTAGGAATCCCAATGAGAAGTGCGCTACAGTAGTCCAGTCTGGAGGAGACAAAGGCATGGACCAGCTTTTCGGCATCTGGGAGGGAGAGAATGGGACGGAGTTTGGATGTTACAGAGGTGGTAGAAAGAGGTCTTGCATAGGTGATTTATATGGGCTTCAAAAGTGAGTTGGGAGTCCATTTTAACACCAAGATTAGTGGCTGTTGATGAGAGGAGGATGTTGGTGCCAGAAAAGGTGATGCTGATTATGGATGATGATTTGGTCTGGTGAGGAGTTCCAACCAGGATGGCTTTGGTTTTGGAGCTATTGAGTTGAATGACGTTTTGCTCCATCCATACCTTTATCTACTCTAGACAGGTGGTGAGTTTTGATGGGGATGACTGTGTGGGTGGGGTTTCAGCTGTAGCATTTACATAGAGCTGTATGTCATCAGCATAGCAGTGGAATTAAATTTTGTGACGGCTGATGATTTGGCCAAGGGGGTAAGGTAGAGGATGGGGCCAAGGACTGACCCCTGGGGGACACCACAAGTAACTGTGTGTGGATTTGATTTGGAGTGGCCCAGGGAGATGTATTCTGTCCAGTGGACAGTGTGAGGTGGAGCCGGTTTAAAAGAATGCCATGTTCGACAGTATCAATGCAGCAGAAAGGTCAAGAAGGATGAGGAGGGATGGAGAGCCAGCATCGGATGATATGAGGAGGTCATTTGTGACTCTAACTACACTACGCTGCAACAACGGCAGAGGAAACAAAGCTGGAAAGTAATTCAATCCGCTTACATGTCTTCACATTCTGAGAAATGTTGAAACGTTTTAACTTAAAAAAGAGAAAGCTGTGTGGATCACTGGTGTGTGTGTCACATTGAACATTACGTTGCGGGAGTTGTGTGTGGCGTCGCTATGACGACAAGCTACATACTATCTCTGGGTACTATCTGCAACGGAAAACGGAGCAGGGCCGAGTAGAGTCGAGTCTATCGATTTGCGCTATGGTAGCATTTTTCGGCAAGGCAGAATAGATTGCCTGGAAATTCACAATCACAACCTTTATTTATTCTTTATTGTTATCTTTATTATTTGCTTTATTGGTTGTGAATTATATTTAAAATAAACACGGCAATGTAACTTTACAGACTGTTCAAGTGTAAACGTTGGCTAACACAGCTAAAGTTATAGCTATAATGTTAATGTTACACCTGATGTGAAAGCTACTGAGCAAACGATCTAATTGTTTGGCCAATTTTTATGTAAAATTGAGTTGAAATATGGTGATTTTTGTAGTGGTTTATGGTAAGATGTGGAAAAATGATGTACAGTTGTGGACTTATGTAACTTACACCATCTGCTAGGTTAGGTCGCAGTCTGAAGTGGCTTTGATTTGGATCACACTACCTTGTTTCTTACGACCCGCCCTTCTCTGCTTTTGATTGGCTAGTAGTCCTTCCATGGGAACCGCGCATGTGCAACTCCCAACAAAGATTTTGTACAAGTAAGATGCATCACTCAAGAACGTCTCGGGTTATGTATGTAACCCTTGTTCCCCGAGAAGGGGAACGAGACACTGCGTCGGTGACGACACTATGGGAACGCCTCTGGGCGTGGCAGGGCTGAACTATGAATGAAACTACTCCAATCCTATTGGTATTACTAGAACAGTAGTGTGTGACGGCGTAACCGGAGGGGTATATAAGCATGCCAGCACACAGGACACATAAGCCCTTTCTATGAAGCAAGGCACTGCAGGCGGGGTGAGGTGTGGCGGACCGACGCAGTGTCTCGTTCCCCTTCTTGGGGAACAAGGGTTACATACGTAACGACACTATGGGAACGAGATACCCACTTAGGCCGCGCCGAAACCCCGCCTGCGTGCAGAACCTGACAACACGACTAGGAGGAGAGCGCACCCTCGACCCTGACCCTCCCCGGGCAAACTCCAGGCATCGGGGAGAAATCGAAAGTGCCTGGATCCCCCACCCTCCTGAGAGAGGTGATAGCGAGGAGAAAGGTCATCTTAAGGGTCAGGTGCTTGGCCTCAGCCGACTCCAGGGGTTCGAAGGGGGCCTCAGCCAGAGCTTCGAGAACCACTGCCAGGTCCCAGATGGGAACCCTGGAACGAGTCACGGGTCTCATCCTCCTGGCTCCACGGAGGAAGCGCACGACCAGTGGAAGCCTCCCCAAGGGCCCATCGCTCAGAGGGACGTGGAATGCTGCAATGGCAGCCGCATACACTTTAAGCGTGGTGGTGAACACATTCCACTTTAGGCCGTACATCCTTCTCGTGGACGGGGCTCTGGAGCTGAGCAGCGTCTCGACTGCTCCTGTCGTCAGGCCCGCCTCTAGGAATTGCGCCCCCTCAAGGGCCAGACCCATAGCTGCCACAGGGCGGGGTGTGGGTGAAAGATCCGGCCCTCCGCCTGGGACAGCAGGTCTCTCCTCAGAGGGACCTGCCAGTGCGGGCCCTCGAGGAGCGATATTAAATCTGAGAACCACACTCGTGCCGGCCAAAACGGGGCTACTAATAGTAGACTGACTTGAAATAGGCCACCACTGCCGTATTGTCGGTTCTGACAAGGATGTGGCGACCGCAGAGGGCGGGCAGAAAACTCCTCAGAGCTCTGAAAACCCTTTCCAGGCAATTTATGTGCCAAGAGAAATTATGCTCCTCCCAGGAGTCTCTCGCGAAGCCCCATCCCCTGAGTGAGGCGTTGAAATAATTGTTCGGCGTCAGATTGCTCCCAACACGCACACAACAAGATTTCCTCCATACAGACAGGGAACGAAGGCACCTGCTCGTAACCCGTATCAGACGGAGCGGATTTCCCCTCAGGGAGAATCCCTTGGATTTTAGCCACCACTGCAGGGCTCTCATGTGCAGTTGCCCGGAAGGTATTATACTGGACGCTGCTGCCAGGACTGCTGCCGCTCAAGACCTCAGACCCCTCAGGGGCCTCAGGCAGCCCCCTTGAGAGATGCCTGGGCGTGCATCATCCCCAGGCATGAGACGGACAGGGAAAGACACACTGTCGCTTCGACATGATCTGCTGCTTCGTCTCGACTTCAGGTAAGATGATGGAGCTTCCAAACATAGCCAGAGTGCCTGCTGAATAGAAAGAAGCTAATGTGTCCTGTGTGCTGGCGTGCTTATATACCCCTCCGGTTATGCCGTCACACACTACCGTTCTAGTAACACCAGTAGGATTGGAGTAGTTTCATTCATAGTTCAGCCCTGCCACGCCCAGAGAGACACGTTCCCACAGTGTTGTCACCGACGCAGTTCGAGTTCCCTCGAAGGGGAACGGAGCGTACAACACATAGGGTGAAAAGAGGAGCTGCAGCAATGTGTAGTATGAGAAAAAGATGGTGTTTTTTGAAAATTAAACCATGTAAACCTGTTCTGGTACTACTTCTAAATGAGATTTTGAACCTGAAAATGAGCATAATACCACCTCTTTAATGTCCACAGTGAAATAAGCTAGCTAGCTACAGACTAGTGTTAGCCTACATTTCATCAACATTTAATCAGTGCAGGGATACATTAACTGATGAATATTCTAGTTAGCTAGCTAGTTATGTTTATAGTATATGAGTTTGCAATTATGTATTTTGAAGGGCAGTGTCAAGCTTTCTAAATAAAAACAAGAATAACTTAAACTATTTAAATGTATATCATTGTGTTTCTTCCGTCCCGCACGGTAGGGACGAATGAAACAATGCGCACCTTTCGTTCAAAGTGAAATTATACATAAGTCGTTCCACATTTTAGAGAGATAAAACCTTAAGATAACACCTGTTATTGACAGAGCACACACGTGAGTTGTTGAAGACAACAACAAATGATTTCTGTCTGTAATGTTATTTTAAAATGATGTATATCTGAAAAGTGTTTCAATCGTCCCGGCTCTCCCCTGCTGTATGCAGACATGCATGTACAAATCACTAGCAGTAAATATTGTTCCAGTAGTAGTATTGAACAACAAGAAGCAAGACAGGTGCAAGCCTTTAATTAGAGTTATGTAAAGCTTTTGATGGGACAGTTAGGTCCTAGAGATGTGGTGACAACAGCTGCGCAGAGGGGGCCCAATTAGATTTTTTGTCATGGGGCCCAAAGTTTCTGGCGGTGCCACTGCTCATATACGTACTGTACTGGAAACCAGGGTTGGTTTAAACACTTGTTTCCATTATATAATATTTTTGCTTCAAATAGTGAATAACAAATTTCGATTTCTACTGCCAATACAGTGGAAACTATATTAGTTTATAGTGATCACGGGTTACAGTGATCAACTGCTAATTTACATCAAAAAGCAACAATGCTAAACTGGTGCTTGTTCTTCAGTAAGGCTTTAACAGCCAGGGTGTTTCGATAGATGCATTAGCTACCAAATAGAGTTACTTCTCTTTACTGACTGCTCATGTCTGCAACTTTACCACCAGTGCCCATGTAATCATCTTAAATTAGTAGCAAGGTTTGTGGTACCAGCAGTTTATTACATTATTTCAGGATGGCTAAGTAACTATGTGATGTGACACATGAGATAGGAGCGGGACACTCTCACACACAAATTGACAAAATCCATCAATTATCAATACTGTGTGCGGCAGATGTGTGTAAATATATTTGTGAGAGCAATGCATCCTGTCTTCTACAGCATTATGTGCATGTTTTACATGTTGCTTTTAAAATGACTCAAACAAAATGAATGCACTGCATATTTATTTGGATTTTCTTTCCTTTTCTTTGATATCTATATAGTCATGTATACCTGTTTCTTTTAGAAAATATAAATGAACAAGTTGTCTTAACTTCTACTACGTTTTAGTGTGTTTAATATGACCTGAAGAAACAATTCACCAAGTTGAATTCTTTACACAGTATTTTTAAACTTTTACCAGAAGTATCCCTTATTACTTCTTTATCCTAATGTTACATTGTCCCCTGTATGTTTCAGACCTTGGGATGTTGACATTGTTCATCACCACAGTTGTCGCACTACTGGTGCTAGTGTGTGCTCTGCTTGCAGTGATCAGGTAGGGCAACAGCTTGAGACACTAAAATGTTCAGACTACCCCACCACATAGACACCATTATAGTTTTACTAACTTTGACTCATTTTTTTTAACTCTGTTAGTGCAAAATCTGACACTACACAGTGTTGCTTGCTCTTCATCCATCAGGAAAACTGTTTCACTTCACATTGTTGAGTTATATCGGTTCTATGAGTGGACCAGGTCCGGTCCCAAAGTTACTTTAATCAATTAATCAATAATTAGGTAAATCACCACTACTAAACTGATAAGAAATATAAGATTTCTTGTCAATCTGTTCTTGCAGATTGTGTTTGCCATATGTTGTTTCAAAATCAAACAAAATCAAACAACATGATTTTCAAGACTATTCTCTGACTTAACATGATTTTCTTAAAACTTTTACCAGTTGCTGCTGATTGCCAGACTTCACATTTACCTATTTAGCTGACACCTCTGTCCAAAGTGACCTACAATTGCTATGTCAGAGGTCACACGCCTCTGGAGGAACTAGGAGTTAAGTGTCTTGCTCAAGGACACGTTGGTGGATGTGTCGCAGTGGGAATCAAACCCTGGTCTCCCACACCAAAGGCATATGTCTTCTCCATTGTGCCATCACCTCAGACTTTATTTACTTTTGATAACTGACAACCTAATATGACTTTTGTCACTTTTGTAGCAGCTTTTGATAAGAAAGTTGCAACATGGTGTAAGTCCATTCCCATGAGATGTTATATAAATATAACCATGTTCATTAAAAGGTTTCTGTTGTGCGTTTCAGGGCTCAGAAGACTCACCATAACCTTCCAAAGAGCACAGCTTCTATGAACCAACTTCTAACAAGTACAGAGGAAAATGAGGTACTTTGATTTAAAGCCATGCAGTTTTCTACTTTCTTAAACCAGCTTAGCAGAGTATATGTACACCAGACATTCCTCTTTAATTGCAGGTACCCTATGCAACAGAAGAGGACATTTATGTCAACACCACTGTGCTGAGACTGGCAGATGTCGCCCACCAGGCAACTATCTCTGAGCCAAACAGCACCTACTTGCCAAGCTCTGGGCCAAACGATGCAGGAGTCAAGAAAAGCTCAGAGGAGAAGAATGAGGAAGGCAGCAATCTGATTTATTCTACTGTGACGTGGAAGGGCAAAAAAAAGAAGAGAGAAAACTATGTGGACACGCATCAGCCTGGGAGCTCCTCTTTGGAGGAGAGGTGCATGGTGGGAGCCACGTGCAGAGATTTTGTGAGCAGCGCGCTGGAGATGGGAAGCTTATATGGTGAAGGAAATGTGAAGAAGAAAGTGGAATGTGAATATGCCAGTGTTAAATTTAAAAACAAACATTAGATCAGTTTTATTTGCTGTGTCTAATTTTGAAAAATAACTGTTTGTTTTTTTGTTGTTGCTTTCAATTCAGCTATGACATGGACATTCAGATGAACAGTTTGTTTGTTAAGTTTTTTAAGATCTTGACAGATTTTTTGTCTGTTAAGAATTTTGTTTTAAGTGCATAATATATTGTGGTTTCACATTTATTTTTACTTATAATAATGTTTGGTATGTGGGGTATATGGGGTCGTGATGGAAAAAGTGTATAAGACCCAGGTTCAATTCCCCACTGTGACACATCCACCAATGTCTCCCTGAGCCCTCATAGCTCCAGAGGTGTGCGACCTTTGACGTACATAGCAATTGATAAAAGCGTCAGCTAAATGAATAAATATAATGTGTACATTGAGAGAGTCCTTGCTGTTTTACATTTATTTGGTTGTGTGACATATTTTTTATCACTTACTTTTTGCTAAATCTAAACTGGCTATAGATGTATAAACATGAAAACAGAGCAAAAGAGAATGTATATCTCTAGAATTGCATCTGTTTCAAGACAATAGTTGAATGTTTGCATCAATGTTCAATTTTAATTTAATATATCTTTTAATGTATTTTACACTTTCTAACATGTACTGTCCAACAAGTGGTGGATTGTTTAGAATACCAGCTTTTACAAACAGCAAGAGAGTCTCTCTTTCAGACTTTTTCAACGTTCAGGCTGACTGCTTTAAATGAGCTCAGCAAGTTTCCTGTTGACTGAATAGAACAGAGGAGGTGTAGAGGGGATTAGATGGTGGTAAAGTAGACTTGACCACAGTAACAGACCAGTGGGCCATCACATACACGTTCATGCTGCAGCTCAGCTGGTAAGGTAAGCCCTCTTCCTCCTCCATATCAGTCAAAGAAAAATATGAATCCAGAGTGTTTTTCACATTCTCAAAGTTATTTCGACAGTACTCACTTTGTGATGAAATGTTACAGAGTAATGGTCTGTGGCTGGTATTAACTGGAAATTAAGAAATATAAAATATATAAAAAAATATGTAGTATAGTGATAGATTATGACTCGCCATTAAACATCTGTTCAGTATTTTCAACACCTGTGCCACGGTGTAAAAGAGCATAGGTATGTGTAAAGATTATTCAATACACGATCACCAAAATCTAACTGTAGTAAAATTGTTACAGCTGATGTGTTTCAGAAATTAAGAGGTCAAACTGTGACTTACTGAATGGTGTACAGCGACTGCTTTCTTCATGGGGACTGCTCATCTGCTTAGACTGCTAAGCTTGTTTACTGGTAATATTGAATGTTATCTGTTTGTATTGCTGGTTCTGTTGCTGAGTAACATTTCAAACATATAAAAGAAAATGCTAATGTTTCACATCTTAGTGTCATCTTAAAAAGCCCAATAAAAAAATTCTGAGAGTTGGGCCTAGAACAGGAAAAAATAAAAGAAGAAACAGTTTCAAACCTGGATAATTCTCATATACAAACAATATATCAATTACTGGCGCTCTTCATAACCTCATAACATAACTATTAGAACCATGAGGTACCTTTTTTTCACGGGGATACTTTTCACTTCCTGACACAAAAATTCATAATTGTGTAACCATGGACCTGCAGATTGTTTGATAAAATGGTAATTGATAAAAAAAAGTATTTTAAAGTATTTGCAGCTTTTTTGATATTGTAAAAAGTATTGTTCCACAGTTTTTGCAATGTAGTGTTTGCACATAAGAAAAATGGTGATGTATGGTTCTTGTATGTAATATATTCTTGAAGAAAAATCACAATCTTGTACCTTTCATTCAATATGGTATGTTACAGCAATAAATTTGTTAACTTTGTTTCTGAGAAGTCATTGTATTTTCATGTCACTAATAATGAATGGGTCTAAATACTGCAGCAACTGTGAAAGCTGATTAACCACAAAAAGAATTGTGGTTAATCAGCTTTGACAGTAACATCTCTCTGTGCACAAATATTGTTTCATGTATTTCATTTTCTCATTCATCACTAAAAAATGGAAACACAAAAGCAGAACAACCACAACTAACATTTGTTTGCTTCTATACTACCCCTGTCACCCTTCCCTCCTCCTCCTTACCCCACTCAGTGCTCCAGGAGGTGAGAAGTTGGAGCATCACAGTGCCAAAAACAGTTACTGCAGTAGAGGGGACCTGTGTTGTAGTACCATGTCAGACACAACCTCATTCTCGGGTCACTTGGTACAAGTACGATAAAATATGTTACCCTGTGGTGTATGACAGCCGTCATACAGTGGACCACCAGTTCAGAGGACGCACTTCAGTACTTGGTAAAGCTGCAGAGGGTAACTGCACCCTGATGATTGATAATGTGAAGTCAGCAGACAACAACATTCAAGTTTATGTTTGGATCAACCCAGACTCTGCAGCAAGTCAGAAATTCTATGATCAAACTGTAACTATCTTTGTTGGTAAGCATTTGTAAACGTACATGTGATTTAGGAAATCGAATTTGTGATTAATGTAGTGCAATGGGAAAACCTTATAACCCATAAATAAAATTCACATACACCATTTCTGTAATATAAATCATAATTTTTTTATATAACTGTTATTCTATAAAAATGTTTTTTTGTGTATCACTGTGTTTTGACTTTCAGAGAGAAAAGCACCTATAATCTCAATTCAGAAGCAAATAGTGGATGGGGAAATTTTCCAGGCTAACTGCAGCATAAACTATTCCTGCCCTTTCTCACCTCCATCCCTTAATTGGATCAGAAGTCCCTTTCTGGAAAATTACACTTTAATGGCTTTCAACAAGGAAGGAAAGGGGCAATGGTTGTACACTGAGACGCTGCATGGACTAGCAACATATGAAATGCATAACAGCAAAATGAGATGTTCTGCACAGTTCAGAACCTTCACAGAAAGTTGGCAAATAATATTCAACATTTTATGTAAGTGATGCACATTGTCTGTTAAAAAAACAGCAAATGACAGAAGAGCATTGAATTGCTAGGTATGTTACCTGGGAACTGTCTTAATATTTTAATTGTGCGGTATGATTTCCTATATC